CGTCTGTCGATCCACTAACTTTGGTGCACCCACGTACACTGCTGTCCCCATAATGTCAACTAACAAATAATATTCAGAGTAATAAATTTATTCAGGAGTGCCACACTGAGTCGGATGAGCTTTTCTGGAAGGGTCCAACCACATTGGGTTTTAATTTGTAAGATGTTTGCATCTAATTACTGATGACGAGTTGCGTTTATAATACCACGTGCAAGGAGGAAACTGGAGCACCCTGAGAAAACCCCACGCCTTACGCGAGGGGGCAACGGTCTCTATCCCACGTAAAGATAGAAACAGATGGCAATTAGTCCACTTGCTGCGAGCCAGAATAAGGCTCCTCGATGCCCACAGGAAGAGAGTTTCACAGCTCATTTGTGTGTGATCCACCAACGCTGGATAGATTGTGTTAAAAAAAAACCAATGGTGTCCCTTCGGCCGCATCGCGCGGAACCTTGCGCAGCCGACAATTCGCGCCCTCCCCGTGCAGAGCAGGCACTTTCATGGCTGCCCCTTTATCCCTCAACCACCATCAAAGTCCATTCATCACTTTTTGTGCGGTCATAAGCAATCGGTTATCGTGATGCGGTCAATTTAGAGGCAGAAGCAGAAACGAGAAGTGGGCTTTACAGCAGAGGTCCAAACGCCAAAACACGTCGAACGATCAGCCACAAACAGCACGATGGAAGTTGCAATGGATACAAGTAAACACGATATCCGACGAGCAGAGTTCTCGCAGGAGTTGGGGGGAAAAGAGATAATGGGAGGGCGAGACGATGCCGCTGTGATGGTGATGATCATCATCATGATAGGCACTTCGAATTGCTTTACGCTCAAACACAGGTGTGCATTGCATCTGCGTGTGTGAAGACATCACCACTAGGGAGACAAAGGCGGTCGGGCGTGATGCCCGCCACCAAGCCCCCTGGTGTGCCGTGCCGGCCTTCGTAGGTGTTGCTCGCTAACAGGACTCGTCCCAACAGTCTGTGAAGGCACTAGGGAGGATCTTTATTATTAGGTCGACGTTTCTCTCCACTGTTGGTGTTGACCCTTCTCGTGGTCACAGATTTGAGTTCAGGGTCTCCCCTCCAAGGGCATCGTGCCCCCCCTCCTTCGTGAGTGGAGTGGTAGGGATTCCGGGGGGGGGGGCTGGTAGTTGCCCCGCGTGTATCAGCGGAACGCGTGTCGAGGAGGAGAAGTAGAAGGGGGAGTGACTCACGATCGCTGAGCAGTTTCCTGCCGCCCCGTTTTGCCTGCGTGAGAAAGTGAGTTTTTTCCACCGAGGTTATTTATTATATTTATTATTATGATTTATTCTTTATAATAATTTTATAATAAATTAATTGCCGTGTAACTTGTTTTTTTTAGGTGCCTTGTACGCGCGTGTGTCAGCCTGCTCCGCCCGCCCCCACCCTTTAGACTCAAGCAAAACACTGCACCGGTGTCGACATTAAAACTATAAAACTAAAAACATTTGTTTTTATTTTGCCAGGTAAGACCCACTGAGCGACGTAGCTCTTTTTTCATAAGCGACCTGGCCACAAAACGAAGTGGCTTATCGTCACGTGGAAACGTACAGCAGCCACATGAGACACGTTTCAGTGTCTCATCAGCAGCGCCAGGCTTGTGTGAACCAACAATGCTGAACTGCCAGACGGAGTTTGTAGGCAGAGGAACGTGGAATTTCCACCACCCCCTCTGCGATGGCTGTGGACGGGAGATGTGCACAGATGGGGGCCTCAATGCGGGGTTTAAGCCGGGGGAGATCTGGCGCTGTCAGACTGCCCCTCGCCTCGCGCTGCTCAATACGATTAGTCACCCGTACGTCGTACGACGTTCATAGTTTTGATTGTGCTGTCTGTTGCTGGCCACTTGGCATTTTAAGTTATTTGTATTTCCCTTGCTCAATCCGAGCAGGAAATCAATCACTCCGTCCTTTGCCTCTCCACTGTGTACGTGTGTGTTGTACTGTCTGTGTTGTACTATCTGTGTGTGCGCGTTGTACTGTGTGTGAGTTGTACGGTGTGTATTGTATTTCGTGTGAGAGTTGTACTGTGTATTTGTGAGAGACATAGACGGTCGGGCGTTGTGCTGGCCACCCACCCCCTCGTGTGCCGTTCCGACGTTCATAGGTGCTCGCTAACAGCATTTTCCCCAACAGTTTGTGAAGGCTACACGAGAATCTGTGTCTTTATGTGAGAGAGAGAGTTGCAAGGCTGCGAGTGTAATTCATGTGGCCAGCGTTTTACGTGTGGACTTTATAAGAGTGGTTTCTGCGTTCAGGATTTTGGGAAAACGCCTTTATTCTCGCTGCTCTGCGGTAACACTCGGCCAGCTTGACCAGAGTGGAAAAATGTTCGAGTTGGGCGAGCGAGGGGTGAGCGTGGCGCCAGGGCTAGAAAAGGTTCACGGTCGCCCGCAGCCTCACCGTGGGGCAACTCGCTCTACAACCCCAGGGCAATGCCGTCCACGGGCCACATTTACACGCTGTGACCTTGTGCGCCACTGAGCAATGTTACGTTGTTGATCACGTGAACGCAGCTGCTGAGCTAAACGTCAAGTAGCCAGCGACAGACCGCACTAAGTTGCAATGGATATTAAGAGTCTAACGCGTTTCCAGATTTGAGTAAGGTTATTTATGATGAGAGTTTTGGGGAAAGGAGACGATGGGAGGCGATGCCAGAGTGGAGCAGTGCGAGTGAAGAGGCAGAGAGTGATGTTACCTGCAGTGTGGTGAGTGGGCGTGTGAGTGGATGAGTGTTGTAGTGACCTGCTGGGTGGTGGTTGAACACAGCGTGGTGGGGGATGACATGAAACAGTCGGTGTCTGCTTGAACCGTGCCCTCAACACGGGAGGAGGAATCATTTGAGTGCAGTCCACGAATAGGACACTCGTGTGGCGTTTTGTGCGATCGTGAGAGGTGGCGGTGGCTTGGGGAGGAGGCCTTCATCCAGCAGTGGATTAACCACGACTGACGGTGACGACGGCGGCGACCCTTTGTGTTTTTTTTGTGAGCGATGCGAGAGTTTGCATCGCAGACGAATAATCACGGAGGAGGACATCTGTCAGAGAAATGAGTAAACTTTAATGGAAATTACACAGGTGACCAATGACAGATACAAAACAGGGAAGAGCCTGGCCTTGCCACATGGAGTTAAAGCTTAAGTCCTTATAAAATACCAGTTTAGTTACAAAAAATAAGCTGCAGAAACTATAGGATTTTAATAAATACAAATTCATAAAAAAACACGTAAATTGTTCCCGTACCCATTTGAAAATGCCGTCGGTATAAAACTACGACCACTGCCACGACCACACGCCGATCGGCATGCAGCAAAGAGCGATCGGCTGATTTCAGCTGATGCCAGAGTTTGCAGTAAGAAGCATAAAAACAAATCCACTTAAATAGTAGAATAATAACACGATTAATTCCGCCCGTTCACCACGTTCTACGCACACTTCACCATCAGCCGTGGTCAGTCCACTGCTGGATGATGGCCCATATGCATTCGTTCATACAAAACGATTCCACGTTAAGTGTGCATCCCGGCCCTAAAGGTGAGACGGGTGGGAGTGGTGGCGCAGTGGTTGTCACACTCCGCTCACAGCGGCCAATGCCAGTGGTGAGTTGCATCCCAGCTGCGTCTGCACCCCCGCCTCCTGACGCCACCATTCACCAATCCACACACAGACCGGCGTGGTGAAGTATGGTCAAACAGCTTCATATTCTGTGGGGGGGCCTTCATCCCAGAGTGGATTGATGATAGTTCTGGCTGCGACTTATTATTATTCATATCGACGAGGCTGAGCAAAATCAAAGTCGATGTGAAACTTATTGCATATTTATTTGTAACATTAGTAAAAATATTCTTTGGCAATATATAAAATGTGCATCATTGCTTTATATAAACGGCACGAGGATTAATGCTGTTTAACGAGCGACGCTAAAATAGATTTACTCAAACTATACACGCATTCTCAACGTACTCGATTGTGTTTTACATTCCAGCGACGTTGTGTTCCGATTCCTCATCTTTCTTTTGGTGGTCCTGCGGTAAGCAGAGCCACCAGTCCGCGGTTGACCGAATGACAAACTACGCCCATTGACAAGTAGACATCAGCGCAAGAAGAATCGCACAAAGGCGAGAGATGAACAGCCGCATTCCAGAATAAACGCAAACCGGTGAACACGAAACCACGACGCCCACCCGTCTTTGTTTTACCGAATGCTGACGTTTACACACAGCATCGGCTATTCATTTAAGGCAGAGTCGACCTAGGGGAAGCCCAAGATCGGTTCATAGATCCGCCACTGTTATTGGTCGTGAGCGAGAATCGAACTCGGGTCACCTGGCTCACTCGCTCGCTCACTCACTGCTCTGCAGAAACACCGCTGTACAGGCTTAGGGACTGTGGTGATAACAACGGTGATAACCCAGAAAGTCTGGGAATTGGCGTCTGTAAGTGGCAGCAGGAATTCAGAATCAGAATATGTATTTATGGTGGAGGAATCCGATGAGCTATAAATCTCTTTTTCATAGATGTCCACCAGATTGATTCGAACCGAGCTCTGGTAGCGGTCTAACTGTGCTGAACTTCATCACCGAACACGTGGCGGTGGAGAAGTGTCGGCACACACCGGTAACGCCACACTGGCACTTCTCACAACGTCCCCGTTCCTCCCCACTGCGATGCTTCCACAGAGGGGAAATGGCAGTGAGTGCCCGCGTGAGTGTCTGTGTGAGTGTCTGTGTGAGTGTCTATGTGAGTGTCCGTGCGAGTGTCCGTGCGAGTGTCCGTGCGAGTGTCTGTGTGAGTGTCCGTGCGAGTGCCCGCGTGAGTGTCTGTGTGAGTGTCTGTGTGAGTGTCTGTGTGAGTGTCCGTGCGAGTGCCCGCGTGAGTGTCTGTGTGAGTGTCTGTGTGAGTGTCTGTGTGAGTGTCTGTGCGAGTGTCTGTGTGAGTGTCTGTGTGAGTGTCTGTGTGAGTGTCCGTGCGAGTGCCCGCGTGAGTGTCTGTGTGAGTGTCTGTGTGAGTGTCTGTGTGAGTGTTTGTGCGAGTGTCTGTGTGAGTGTCTGTGTGAGTGTCTGTGTGAGTGTCCGTGCGAGTGTCCGCGTGAGTGAGAGGTTTGTTTGATAGATTTGAGTCAATGAACATGCGCTGCAGGACTTTGTCCAAGCCAACTTCTGATTCTGGAAATTAATATAACTATTTGTACTTGTTCACCGTTTCAATGTCATTTATAATGCAGAATGATTTATATTTGTTTGTTTCTGCTCTGGTGGCTGTTTGCTCGCTTGCCGTACTTCGTTATGTTCTCACTCCTGCCATTGTGGTGACCCAGGCCACTCCTGCAATCGAGACACATCCTGCCCTCCTGAGGTCCCACCCGCTTCAAGAAAACACACTTGAAACTTGCGAATAGGAACCTTCGCGAATAGGAACCCTGGGGAACATGAACCTTAATGAATAGGGTTCGTTCCGGCACTGCTGTATTTGCATTTCCACCGCCGAGTCCACATCAGCACAGTTCTCACCGACTCCGTGCTGACTGAGAAATGGGACTGAGTTTTGGTGTGCAGTGGAAAAGGTGGCAACCCTACCACCCACTCGCCCACTGGCTCACTCGCTCACTCATCCACTCACCTATTCACTCATTCACCCACCCACTCACTCACCCACCCACTCGCTCACCCACTCACTCACGCCCACTCACAGGCGGCCAGGTGCTGAGTCCCGACACTCCCCAGCAAATAGTAGGGCGGCTCCATCGACAACAGAATCATCATCGCCATCATCACCATCGTCGCCATCGTCACCATCGTCGCCATCGTCACCATCGTCACCATTGTCACCGGGAGCCTCTCTGGGCAAATAGCATCTTGAGCTGAGCGATGTCAGCTGAGAGGGTGGCCAGCTCGCTCCTCAACCCAGTGTCCTCACCCCCGCCCGCCCTCCCGGGGCCCCCCAATCCTCCTAGGCCCCCCAACCCGCCGGGGCACCGGGATCCCAACCCCGGTCCCAGGGGGCCCCGCAGGCCGCTCACCAGAGACAGCGCCTCGGCGTAGAGGGCGGCCCTTCTCACCGCCCTCACCTCCTCCCCTCCTCGCTCATCACCAATACTGTCATCCAACTTACTTCTCATCTGCTCACGCCTCTCTCCCATCGTCTCATCCCTGCCGTGCTGCTGCTGATGGGGATGATGAAGGCGAGCGATCGGCTGAGAGTGGCTCTCCTCGGGGCTGCTGGCCACCTTGAAGCGCAGCTTGTGCGGGAGGTTTTTGGCGGCGGCGGTGGTGGCGGTGGTGACGCAGATGGCGCCGCCGTTGGATTCTGGCGACGAGACGGAGGCGCCGGGAGATGGCGCCGGGCTGGGCGCCGGCAGAAGAAACGCCGGAGCGTCGTGCCCACCGCCACCGTGGTGCGATTTTGGCCACGCTGTGGGAGATGATGACGCTGATGACCCGAATGTCTCGCTCGATGGAGAGCGAGACAGCTGGTGGTGTAGCTGTTGATGGTGCTGCTGCTGATGATGATGCTGCTGCTGATGGTGGTGGTGATGAAGGCGCGCGCTGTTCTGCTGAAGGGCATTGCGCACAAACGTGGTGGGGCCAACGGACAGCCCGAGAGGCAATGCCGCATCAACGGCGCTCATCTGCGTCGGATGAAGCAGCTGGTGCTGTTGATGATGTTGATGATGCTGATGCTGCTGATGATGATGAAGGTGGCGGTGGTGGTGCAACGGCGCCGCCGCCGCCGCCGCCGAAAAAATGCCGTGAACGGGCGACGGGAAAATCAGCGCGGCGCCCGCAGCTCCCCCGTTGGCGGCTCCGCCCGTCGCCCCCCCACCCAGGGCACCGTCCCCACCGCCGGGCGCCAGCATCGGGTCGCGCACCAGGCCATAGCGCAGCTTCAGCGCCAGCAGCTCGGTCTTGAGCCGCGCGTTCTCGTCGAGCAGCGCCAGCACGCGCGTCTCCAGCACCAGGTCGTTGTAGCGGCGCTTCTCGCGCGAGCGCTTGGCCGCCTCGTTGTTCTTGCGCCGCTTGTCCCAGTAGGAGGCGTCCTTCTTCTCGTCGGGGATGAACTCGCGCTTGCGCCGCTGGTTGCCGTAGTGCCCGGACGAGCCCCCGTCCTCCTGCTGATCGTGATGGTGATCGTGATGATGCTCGTGATGCTGCTCTTGATGATGCTCGTGATGCTGCTCTTGATGCTGATGACGTTGCTGCTGCTGCTGCTGATGATGATGAAGATGATGGTTCTTATAGCGATGGTTCTGTTGCTGATCTTGCTCCTCCTCCTGCTGCTGCTGATGCGGAGACGAATGCTGATTATGCTGCGGCTGCTGCTGTTGCTGATGATGATGTTCCTGCTGCTGCCTGCCATCCATGTCGGTGATGCCCTGAGCTCCCTGCAGGGCACGTGACCCCAGGTGCAGGAGGCCATGCGCTGGGTTCCACAGCGGTGGAGTGTTTGGGAGGTGCCCACCACCGCCACCACCACCACCGCCACCACCACCACCGCCACCACCGCCATTCTTCAACAACAGCGCCGTCGTCGCCTTCTCCACCACCACCACCTCCTCCTTTACCGCCTCGTCCACCTCGTCGTCCATCACCTGGAGGAGCGATGAGGTGAGCCCCGAGCTGTAGCCGTGGGCGAGGTCGATTGCCATTGAGGTGGAGCAGGGGGGCGACAGCACCTCGCTCGTGGCAGGCATAGCCCGCACGCTCACCCGCCTCACCTGGTGAAGAGGGTGGTGGGGGAAGGAGGAACGAGTTGGGGTGGGGGGAATGAGGCGGTGAGTTGGTTAATTGAGTAGATCCGAGTGAATCGTCGATATCGTCATCGTCGTCATCATCATCAGCAGAGTGGTGACACAGTGGGTGGTGATGCTCACGCCTCACAGCAAGAAGCTCTGGGTTCGCCTCTCAACTCTTCTCTTGGGAGTTTTCTCCCTCTGTTCTACAAAGTGTGAGCGATTGATAGTGAGTGAGTGTGAGTGAGTGGGGAGCGGTGGTGTAGCGGTCAGCGCACTGCGCATCCCCTAGGTCTACTCAGCCTCAAATAAGTACCTGATACGATATGTAAACATCGCAACGAGGGAGACAAAGGCGGCCGGGCGTGGTGTTGGCCACCCACTCCCTCATGTGCCGTTCCGGCCTACAAAGGTGCTCGCTTTAACAATCTGCTAAGGCTATACGGGCGAATCTTTGTCTTTGTGAGTGGAGTTTGCATGTTCTCCCACTGTGCTACAAAGTGTGTGAGTGAGTGTGTGGGGTTTGTGTTTTCTCTCCCCCTGCTCTGTATGGGCTTCCTGCTGGGTTTACCGGTTTGCTCCCATCGCTAAAAACGCACAAACAACAACAACGACCCCAATGCCGAAACATTACCTGCATAATCACTCAAATGGTATCACGCAGCAGCAGGACCCTCTTGAAAGTGAGCCTTGAGATTCGGCGAGCATTTCCCGGGTGAACGTGCAGAGTAATCATCAGAGTCATCTTCATTCCACTCCTTCCACCCCCCTCCCCTCTGTGTAGCAGAGTCTCTGAGGTGTCACCCCCTCGCTTACAGGGGCTGGGGCTTTCTCCGGCTTCTCCGGTTTCCGCTCACACTCACAAAACATTTTTATTTTATTAAAATCTTCCATTCCGCTTGCAAGGGCTTCCAGGGTGTCGTCGATCGACACCCTGCAGACCACGTATTGACGTGCTCGTTCGAAAAAGACAAAGAACCCCCGTGGAGCCTACACAGGCTGTTGGGGCAAGTGCCGTTAGCGAGCAGCTACGAAGGCCGTTCTGGCCGTCATGGGTGCTCGGGTATCATCCAGACAGAACCACGCGAGGCCGCCTTTGTCTCCCGAGTAATGGTGTTTGAGATACACCACACGAGGTAAATCCTTATCCGCTAAATCGAGGTAGGGGATGCCCATAATTCGCACCGCCGATTAGCAAGGTTGGCTACGTTCCGTGCGAAATAAGTTCAACGTAGATTTCTAACCGGTTTAGATGTTCGCCACTGATGTTTGGCCAGAGCAGGAATCGATCTGGAGTCGCCGGGTTTGTGGCGCAATGATTAAAATTCGCTAAGCACTGCGCCACCACTCCTCGCATATGCGTACACACCGATAATCTGAAACATGATAGCGAGCACGTCATGACACGTACATAAACGTGTTCGTGAATTACTGTCTAAATCATTGGCCAAACATCCCATGGTAGCAACAGGTCCCTGTGTGTATACACCGTATGTTGAACTTCTTTCGCACTATACGTAGCCAACCGCGCTAGGCTTTTATCCTTGCCTTAAGGATAAAGGCATTTTCAAAATCTAATTGTTACTTTTTTTAATTCTGGACCTTTCAAGGCCACTACAGGAACTTTACATCAGCCAGTTAATTAAATCATTCACTTAATCGCATCGAATCCCACCCTGAACTCCCTATGCCCGCTGCTGATTCTGCCTCAGTAGCCCATTCGAGAGATTATCATCTTCATTGACCTGGCCAGAACTATTAACTGTGATCATCAATCGATGCGTCCGTCGCGCTCCCTCCACTCGCGGGAGAACTGGTCATTTACAATTCAGACAAAGATTACGGTCCATGTCACATCGAGGATAACAGAGCACGCCAAACAACACAAGCGAGACGGATAGAAACTGAAAAACAGACGGGAGACAGACAGAGCAAATGAGGACTGGACACTGCACATGGGAAAGAATTAGATGGAAGTCTGTGGGGCTATCTAAGTCCGTGTAAGCCAATGGGTCTCTACGTATGCCTCCGAATGTCTATGTCGGTCCGTGGAGCTCTATGTAAGTCTCGGAGTCTCTATGCAAGTTTTCGTCGACTGTCTTTACGATATGTCATACGGTAGCGAAGGTTGCCATGCTATGCAAGGGTTAAATATTCTTCGGTTAACCCAGTTGCCGAGCAAAGGCCCACAAACGGCAAGCGGCCAACAATAAACAGCACGATCCGAGTTGGAACACGCGTAGCTAGGAGTTGACGCGCGTCTTTAAATCAGCCAGGTTGTTGTAAGAATGTGGGAAAAGAGACGATGGGAAGGATTTCCGAAGTGGTGAGTGCGTGGGTGGGTGGGTGGACGAGTGAGTGAACGAGTGAGTGGTGAGTGAATGAATGTGTGGCATTGACCTGCAGCGCGGTGAGTGAACCCAGTGTGGATGCTGGCTCAAGAGAGAGGGTGTGTGGTTAGTGTGTGTTTAGAGACAGGGTGTGTGGTTAGTGTGTGTTTAGAGAGAGGGTGTGTGGTTAGTGTGTGTTTAGTGTGTGTTTAGAGAGAGGGTGTGGTTAGTGTGTGTTTAGAGAGAGGGTGTGTGGTTAGTGTGTGTTTAGAGAGAGGGTGTGTGGTTAGTGTGTGGTTAGTGTGTGTTTAGAGACAGGGTGTGTGGTTAGTGTGTGTTTAGAGAGAGGGTGTGTGGTTAGTGTGTGGTTAGAGATAGGGTGTGTGGTTAGTGTGTGTTTAGAGAGAGGGTGTGTGGTTAGTGTGTGTTTAGAGAGAGGGTGTGTGGTTAGTGTGTGTTTAGAGAGAGGGTGTGTGGTTAGTGTGTGTTTAGAGAGAGTGTGTGTGGTTAGTGTGTGTTTAGTGTGTGTTTAGAGAGAGTGTGTGTGGTTAGTGTATGGTTAGAGAGGGTGTGTGGTTAGTGTGTGTTTAGTGTGTGTTTAGAGAGAGGGTGTGGTTAGTGTGTGTTTAGAGAGAGGGTGTGTGGTTAGTGTGTGGTTAGTGTGTGTTTAGAGACAGGGTGTGTGGTTAGTGTGTGTTTAGAGAGAGTGTGTGTGGTTAGTGTTTGGTTAGAGAGGGTGTGTGGTTAGGGTGTGTTTAGTGTTTGTTTAGAAAGAGGGTGTGGTTAGTGTGTGTTTAGAGAGAGGGTGTGTGGTTAGTGTGTGGTTAGTGTGTGTTTAGAGACAGGGTGTGTGGTTAGTGTGTGGTTAGTGTGTGTTTAGAGAGAGGGTGTGTGGTTAGTGTGTGTTTAGAGAGAGGGTGTGTGGTTAGTGTGTGTTTAGAGAGAGGCTGTGTGGTTAGTGTGTGTTTAGAGACAGGGTGTGTGGTTAGTGTGTGGTTAGTGTGTGTTTAGAGAGAGGGTGTGTGGTTAGTGTGTGTTTAGAGAGAGTGTGTGTGGTTAGTGTGTGCTTAGAGACAGGGTGTGTGGTTAGTGTGTGTTTAGAGAGGGTGTGTGATTAGTGTGTGTTTAGAGAGAGGGTGTGTGGTTAGTGTGTGTTTAGAGAGAGGGTGTGTGGTTAGTGTGTGGTTAGTGTGTGTTTAGAGACAGGGTGTGTGGTTAGTGTGTGTTTAGAGAGAGGGTGGTTAGTGTGTGTTTAGAGACAGGGTGTGTGGTTAGTGTGTGTTTAGAGACAGGGTGTGTGGTTAGAGAGAGGGTGTGTGGTTAGTGTGTGGTTAGTGTGTGTTTAGAGAAAGGGTGTGTGGTTAGAGAGAGGGTGTGTGGTTAGTGTGTGGTTAGTGTGTGTTTAGAGACAGGGTGTGTGGTTAGTGTGTGTTTAGAGAGAGTGTGTGTGGTTAGTGTGTGGTTAGAGAGAGTGGTGTGTGTGTTTAGAGAGAGGGTGTGTGGTTAGTGTGTGATTATAGACAGGGTGTGTGGTTAGAGAGAGTGGTGTGGTTAGAGAGAGTGTGGTGTATTTAGAGAGAGGGTGTGTGGTTAGAGAGAGGGGTGTGTGTGGATAGAGAGAGTGTGGTGTATTTAGAGAGAGGGTGCGTGGTTATAGACAGGGTGTGTGGATAGAGGGGTGTGTGTAGTTATAGACAGGGTGTGTGGTTATAGAGAGGGTGTGTGGTTATAGACAGGGTGTGTGGTTATAGACAGGGTGTGTGGTTAGAGAGTGGGTGGTTGTGTGGTTATAGAGAGGGTGTGTGGTTATAGACAGGGTGTGTGGTTATAGAGAGGGTGTGTGGTTATAGACAGGGTGTGTGGTTATAGAGAGGGTATGTGGTTATAGACAGGGTGTGTGGTTATAGACAGGGTGTGTGGTTAGAGAGTGGGTGGTGTGTGGTTAGAGAGAGGGTGTGTGGTTATAGACAGGGTGTGTGGATAGAGAGAGGGGTGTGTGTGGTTATAGACAGGGTGTGTGTGGATAGAGAGAGGGGTGTGTGTGGTTATAGACAGGGTGTGTGGATAGAGAGAGGGGTGTGTGTGGTTATAGACAGGGTGTGTGTGGATAGAGAGAGGGGTGTGTGTGGTTATAGACAGGGTGTGTGGTTTTAGACAGGGTGTGTGGTTAGAGAGTGGGTTGTGTGCCCACTCTTCGTGGATGTCTGTTTCAGGACTCGCCCCACTCGCGCTCCCAGAGGCGCTACCCAGCCAGCGCCACCACGCGTAGCGTGGTGTGCGCCTGTGTATGTGTGTATTATGTATGTGTAAGCGTGTGTTTGTGTAAGCGTGTGTTTGTGTAAGCGTGTGTGTATCTGTGTGTGTGTAAGCGTGTGTGTATCTGTGTAAGCGTGTGTGAATATGTGTGCGTGTCTTTGTGTATGTAAACATGTCACTGTGTATCGCATGCTAATGTGATGGCGTATGTGTTTGTGCGACCTCCTGCCAGCGAGCCTTCCACACTTCACTTAGCCTCAAGGTGCACCTAGCCTGGCACAGGCGCTGTGGTGACGTCACCACCACTTAGTGGCGAATTCTGGCTGCTGTTGTTGAGTACTGTATACGTTTGTGTATACCTATGTAAGCGTGTTTGTGTATGTATCTAGGTATATATTCCGATACGTGTGTGTAACTATAGTGTGTGTGTGACGGTACAAGAATGTCATAATGTAAGCGAGTGCACATGGTGTGTGCATATGTAACTGTGTGTGTGTGTAACTGTGTTTATTATGTAAGCGTATGAATGCCAGTTATGCTGTGTCTGAACGCAAATGTATGCACACAACCACATGTGCAATGCATACGGTGTGTGCAAGAAGCTCTCACCTGCCTTTAAGCACACTCGCCCGCACACAAAGTATCGGATGGCCAGCCAGGTCAGATTCTCGAAGTTCCAACTACCCCGGCAGGCACTCGATATATCGCCTACCCCGCCCTGATTCCCAGTGCACGAACTTCCCTGGCTGGTACTAAGAACCAACCTGACCAGCTCGGTGTTCAGTGTACTAACTTCCCTGTCAAAGTACTCGAATGACCACGGACCCTACTCTGGATGGTAATCAGGGTACAGGACCAGCAATGCCCCCTCGCTACTCTCCGTGTTGGCTCCCTTATGGCTGGGGTTGTGCTTGTGCTCCGGCCCTTTTATAGAGTCCCGAGCCCCGCCCCCCACACAGGAGGAGTGGGGGGGGCTGGGGGGGGTGAGCGAGTGCACGGCTAGCGTCGCGTGCTGCGAGCGATGCGCGGGGCCGGGTGAGGACATGGAGAGAGGGGATGAGACGAGTAGCCGGGCAAAGCTCAGATGAGACGGCTTATTCCGATACTGGGATATGCTTATGTCTGTACACATGTACATACATTTATATAGGGACAGACAAGAAATCGCCCGAGACGGTAGGGGCAAGCGCTGTTAGCGAGTAGCAGCACCTATGAAGGCCAGCACAGCGCGCGAAGGTGGTGTGGTGTGGTTAACACCACGCTCGGCCGCCTTTGTCTCCCTAGTACCCATTTTCATGAGGCCCGGGACCGGGTTCAGATATTGGCCACTGTTTTTGGCCGTGAGAGAGAATCATCTCAGTCAGTCAACCCATGGCACCTCTGAGTGTGTCCCGTGATCTCCTGTAAGGAAGCCTTCGACACCTCAGGATGCACCTAGCCTGGCACAAGCGCTGTGGTGACGTCACAATCATGTTGTTATTGTGAGTGTAAATGGCGGAGTCGTTAGTGAGTGCGCTGCGCTATGAAGCCAGCGTCTCAAGTTCGATTCCCGCTCACGGCCAGTGACCATTTTCTGAACCAATTCTGGGCCTCCTCTCGGTCGACTCAGCCTTGAATTAGTACGTGGAGCGAGACAAAGGCGGCCGGGCGTGGTGTTGGCCTCCCACCCCCTCGTGTGCCACGCGGGCCTTCGTAGGTGCTCGCCAACACCACTTTCCATAACAGTCCGTTAAGGTTATAGGGGGGATCTGCGTGTCACATTGTGTTGATGTGTCTGGCTATGCCCTGCCAGTGGTGCTCCACCGCACCGCAGCGAGTGAGTTAATCTGTGGGTTCGTGTCCTGGAATATTGCGTAAAGAAGCGACAATTTCCCGCTGTGAACTCCCCACACACAGTGCGCACTGTGAAGTCACACACACGGACGGACGCACCCTGAATCTCAGGGCTCATGGTCAAGAGGCCCCAGCTTCACGGGGATGTTTGGTCAATGTCTTTGTATTAGCAGGGATTAGTAAGAACTAGCAAGCTCAAAGTTAAAGTGATTTACTGATTACATGAGCATTGAGGTAAATCTGCTCATCTATGGCGGGGATGAGTCCATATTAGAGCCGAGGACAAAACCCCCATTAGGGACATAATCGTGGCGTGATTATCAAACCCTGGACATTGTTGCTTGTGGAGCAATACTGCTGTGGGGGTGAATACATTGTCACTGATGTGATATCATGAGCCATGATCAATCTACTGCTGGATGAAGGACTCCCTCCGCAATCCGTCACCATCTGAAACGATCCTATGACGTAATAATCCACCCAGCACCTGCACACGTGCTGATTTTATTGCTCCATCTCTTCGGTGTACGCTCGCTAAGATGCGTTACATTCCTTGGCTGCCGCTTCATCATTAAAATGTCAGAATAATTACAGTCCTGCAGAGCCAGTGGTGGAAATTCCAAATTGATATGGCAGGGGCAGCCCTGTTTACGAAATGGTACACGTTTATCAACTACTGTGGGATTATGGGCTGAGTCAACCCTCTTTGCATTGCATGTTATGCATTTGTCCATGCACACAAAGACAAAGATCCCGCATTTAGCCTTCATAGACTGTTGAGGAAATCGCTGCTAACTAACATATATGAAGGCCGGTACGACACACGAGGGGGTGTGTGTCCAGTACCACGCTCGGTCGCCTGTATCTGCCGAGTAGCGATGTTTACACATCGCACAGGTACTCATTTGGGACTGAAACGACCCAGGAGAGTCCCAGGACCGGATCAAATATTGGCCACCGTTATTGTGGTCGTCAGCAGGAATTGAACTCAGGTCGTCGAGTTCGTAGCGCAACGCGTAAACCGCTACAACCACCACGCCCCGCACGCACCTACTCACTCGCAAAATACATACATACACCCACCCACATACACGCATAAACACTCACATGCACACTCATCCATACACATACCCACGCACATACGCACCCTGGAACAAACATCCTTAAACACCCACACGCCCACGAGCAAGACTAAAACAAAGATCCCCATGTAAGCTTTTACAGACTGTTGGTGCAAGTGCTGTTAGCGAGCACCTGTTAAAGCCACCAAGGTGGCCGAAAGGGTGGTGTGGCCAGAACCACGCTCGGCTGCCTTTGTCTCCCTCGTCCTGATGTCTTTCCACACTACACTAGGTTCTCATGTCAAGCTGCGTTGACCTATGGGAGGCCCAGAACCGTTTCAGATGTCACTCGCCACTGATGCTGGTCGTGAACCGAGCTCAGGTCGGTTCACCACTGCGCTACTGCAAGGGGGAGACAAAGACGTCCGGGCGTTCTGGCTCACTCGCCCTCTCGTATGCTGTGCCGATCTTCTAACAGTACTTGCCCCAACAGTCTGTTAAAAGCAATGTGGGGGATATTTGTGTCTATATGTGTGTGTATAGTTGCATGTATACATTTGTAGTCACATCGCTGGATGTCAACATGCTGGGTGCAGTGGCGGTCCTAGAGAGGTGCGGCGTGCGGTGTATCGACATTGCGGATACCACAATGGTGTGGTGTAGTACTGGCCCTACAGGGGCCTGGTGAGCGCTGATTGATAGCGCTGGATGGCACCACGCTTTGCGTGCAGTGCCGACCCTAGAGGACAGGGTGTGTAGGTGCCGGCCAAAGGATGAGGTTATTCGAGGCCATGGCACTCTGGTTGACCCGGGAGGGCACGTGACCGGTTAAGTCTACAAAGGGGCCCCACGAGGGGGCTGGGGGTGGTCACGTGATTGGGACCCAGATCCTTCCTGAGGATTCTGGAAGGTGGATGTGGCCAAGGGTGGAGCTGGCCATGCCACAGAGAATATAAGCCGATTACAACTGGTGTCAAAAGTGGCCAAACATTATTTGTCAGTAAGATAGGCCGAGTTAGGTTATGCTTACGCGACGCAGACTACACACCAGGACGTTGTCGGACGACAAGGACAACAAAGGCATTATTCCTCAGACAGCCCCGGGGATGGCTACCCCAGAGAAAGGGAGTGAGGTGCTGCCAGCGGAGCATCGCGACGACCATCTCAGCGACAGCTCGCCGCCGTTGAGGAAAGAGCGCCGCACATTCCGGCACCCGCTTCGCGGAACTCCTCGAGGCAGTGGCTGCGATGGTCACTGAGCTCGACCGCGAAGAGCCAGCGGTGGAGGAGAGAGCACCGGAGCTGCGTGGGGTCGAGCATCCCGTCGCTGTGTCCCGCCAGTGGGAAAGCTCCATTGCGCAGCCCGCGCACGCGGCCGCCATTTTGTTTGCAGAGCAGGGCGAAGAGTCTAAGACTGCACCGGGTTCACCTGTTGAGATCCCACCCCTCAGGCGACGTCTACCTTTTGTTGAATACATTTCTTCTGTGGGATGCGACTGGGTGGCCTTCAAGCGCCGGTTCCAGACGAACTGTGACCTAGCGGCATGGACTGAGGCGGAGGCGCTGAGAGCGCTGCCCGCCGCGCTTGACGACATTGCCTTGGCGGCGTTTTGCACCATCCTGCCGACGGAGAGAGCCACGCTCTTAAAAGCCTTTGCTCAGATGGCGGCAATCTACGAACCGCCATCAAATGTTCGCCATAAGTTCGCTGCGTGGTGGAGGAGGGGGGAGGCCGAGTTGCCCCTCGCCTTCCGCAACGCACTATTGGCGCTAGCGAAGGCTGCCTTCCCGAAGATGGACCACGACGGAGTCGACTCCCTGGTCCTTGAAAGATTGCTGACGCTGGCGAAGGACCTCAACATCGTTCTGCCGGCCGTCGACGAAGACGATTTGTCTTCTCTCAAGATTGCAAGATGCATCCAGGCATACCTGCTTTTTCAACAACAAAAGGGGTTGGTGGGGTGTACCACGCCTCGTGAGACACGTGATACACCCCAAGATGTGTTGCCTGTCCAAGCCTGCGCTTCGGCCCTAAGTGGAGGCTGGCGGGGGGACGGCATGGTGCGAGAGGATGAACAACTTCGACGGCGAAAGACCTCTCCTCGTCATGAGAGCGGGCCCGTCACGTGCTACAACTGCAGCCTGCTGGGACACGTCTCGTCGGGCTGCCCCGTGCCGTGACGACGCCTCCCCGGACCACCGCCGTCATCCGCCCGATCGTCCTCCACTCCACTACATCCCGAAGGCAAGTCGCGACACACCACACACTCGTCCCCTGAATCCACCTCACTCATCGCGTTCGGATGGTTTTCATTCCCATCCTGTGTCGGGGCATGAGGGTTTGGATTTTTCTCAGGCTGACTGGCCGCTCCGACCGGGTCAGTGGGCAGAGTTGGCCCATAGGGTGGTTGCCGCGGCCGCAGGTTCATCTGCTGTTATCGGAATGATAGAGGGGGTTGAAATCAGAGTGCTCGTCGATATTGGTGTGTCCGCAACTATAATTTCCGAGTTGATTTTTTACATTCTGCCCCCTAAATTGCGTACCCTATGTCCCGTTGGGGTTCCGTGCTTTGCCGCAAATGACAGCTCATTGGGTATCATTGGGAAAATAACAGCAGTGGTGTGTATTGGAGGTATCAAATTGACGGGACCAGTTCTTGTATCAACGTCGTGTGCTGTTCCTTGCTTGCTCGGGGCTGACTTCCTGGGGAAGATGCCCCTGCAAATTTGTATTGATCAACGTTGCCTTGAGTTACCATTGGGCCGTCGCATGGCCTTTTTGCCTTCTCCCACTCTATTGTGCATTGCCAACGCTACTGTACAAGCGCTTGCGAGTAGGACTGTAAAGATTCCCCCCATCGCACAAATGTTGGGCCCTTCATGATTGCGGAAGCTGCTTGACCAGGAGGCGACTGCGGGAGGAATCCTCCTTAGGACCCTCAAAGAAAGCCATTCGTGGGTTGACGTTGGTGGGGGCCCAGACTCTGATGGATGGATACGCTT